AGATGGCGCTTGAGAATAGTCTAAATAAATCTATATATAAATAAGTTGAGAAATAATCTATTTAATAATAAATTCCAGGTAATTTAAAATTCTATACTTACGAACTATAATTTAATATAATAAAAATGATTAATATTTAATCAATTCCAATAAATAAATAGAATAAAATTTATACTCACATTTTATTAATCTCATCACAAGCTTTTAATGCTATCGCTATGATTTGTTTAAACCCGCATATAGTTTTGTATCTTAGTATGAACGTATTATTCAATTTAATTGAAATTAAAATTGTATTAGTATATCATTTGGCACCTTAACTAGTAAAATCATTAATGATTTGATTTAGTTCATCTAGCTATTAAATGTCAACAAGTGATCGAAGACAATTTTATTTTATCTACTAGGTATTATCTTTATAAGATTGGTTTTTAAACCGCAAACAATAAGTTCAAAAAAAAAAACTTTATAGATCCAAAAATTTAATGCTGTTCATGTGATGCTTGATTTATATTCTTCGGATTCCTATACCGAACAGAAAATTAAAATAATAATAAATAACAATAATCACAATTATACTTTTTGATAAGAGGTTTTATACCAAACTGGTAAACATTGCTTCTTGCGAAAAATTACATTAACATCTAGTAAAAATATACAAATATTTACATAGTTATATTATAAGAAGTAAATATTTTTAATAGCATTTTTACTTACTATATAATTTGAACCCTTGTTGGCTTATCAAAAGAATTATTATCACCGTTATATGCATAATAAAGTCGGCGATTTTCATAATTCATAATTTCTCTAATTGCGCATGTTTTTTGATTTGGATTACCTCCATCTTTAAGTGTTTGACGAAAAAAAAAAGATGATTGTTGATGATTTTTCTTTTCCACAGCGGAACAAGAAAAAGAACCTAGCCCAAATTCTTGATGAATTTCCATGAACTCTGGAATATGATAGACGAATACATGGATATATGGTATAAGATCAGAAGGTTGATATAATCCTTCTTCTATAATTTTATCAGGGTTTTTAATATCGGTAATATCAGGTTGAAGAAAATACGTTTCCCACTTTTTTGCTTTTAAAGCAAATTGTAAAGAACTAAGATTGGAGCTTTTAATAGCGCAATATAATTGATCAAATTCGCTCCACAATAGTTTGATTTTTTCTGCACGATCCATTGGTAAAATTGCTGACAAATCAAAATTACGTAACATTTTCAATTTATCTTGACCAGAAAGTGAAGTAAATTGCCACTTAGATGAATTATACTGGTCCTTCCAAAATTGAAATTTAACTTTGCATTTTTTCATTTCATTACAAATAGTTTCACGCATATCGTCATCAAATTCTCCATTTTGCTCTAATTCAGAAATTACTAAAGACCATAGTCGATCAGTAATTCTAAGAAGAATATGTAATTCGTCAGGAATCCAGTGACTTAGTGGGATCATTGAAAATAACGGAGCTCTAATGTGTCCAGGATAAGCTAAATAATTAGATGCCATTAAATTTATATCTTTTTCGATTTTCCATGACCGGTTTTTTAAATTGCCAAGATCAGTTTTTTTGCATTGACACCAAGGACAGAAATTAGCTGAATTTGCTGTATTAATACCTAAACATAGTGCTAAAAATTTCCAGTCCGAGGAAAAATACAAGTTAATGTGCCAATTAATACCATTTTTATCAAACAAACCAACTTTACATAATTCATCTAATTCGGAAATAAGTGGCTGTGTTGCATTTTTTAAAGATTCATAATCTTCAACTCCCGAATAAATAACAATTGTAAAATGACTATCTGGTAAATATAAAGATCCTTTTTTATCTAAAATAGCAAAAGTAATTATCACATGTTTAATCTTCTTTCCAACATGACGCCCATCTCCAGAAATTCTCAAGTTAATAACAGGTTGTGAGGAATGAAGAACTCCAGTATTTACTAAATAAGGAAGTATATATAAAAGTATGTCTTTAATATTTCGTCGTGCAGCTTTTCCAATTGATTGAGATTCAATATCCAAACCAGTTACAAACTTTTCATCCAATAAAAAATTATTATCGGAAATATTAAACATGTAAATAGGTATGCTATTTTCCATTTTTAATGTTAATGTTATGCGTTGATTAGAAATTGTATAACAGCGAGGCAATTCCGGTTGAATTGCTGATAAGGCACGGTAACCATCTCGTGGTATTTGATATTTGTCAATTACTTGTACTATTGCTAATTCTTGATCTTTTTTTTTTTTAATATTGTTTTGAGACCCAAACTCTATTTGAAATGATGTATTTTCGACTGTATAAGATAATTTTGTAAGAGCTACTCGATCTTTAGAATGAAGATTTTCTTTAGCTACTTGGTTAAAATTCTTTCTAACCTTTTTTGCTATAATTCTGGCACGTGCTTTTTTAGTAGAAACACTTAGACTATTATAAGGTTTGCTACAGTAAGGTCGATTTTTTTGTACTTGTTTAAGATGAAGACCAAAAAGAAAAGGACCTGACATTCGACTTTTTTTCAATTGTTCATTTATAGCCTAATGTTTGATGATTTATTAATATAAATTTATAAATCTTTAATAAGTACATTTATTATTAATTGTACTAACCTTTAATGCTTTTGTTGCCGCATCACTAGAAGAGTGGTTGGATGTTACTTCAAATCTAAAATCTGATCCATAATATATATGATAAACGGGATTACTATCTATATATTTAATGTAGCCTTTAATAGTGCATAAATTTGCTGGTTTTCCCCATGTTGTAATGATACTATAATTATCAGGGATAGCGTAACTTTTTGGTGCTCTTGTATATTTAAGGTCTGATATAGAAGGAAAAACAACTTTGTTACATATTGTATACCAAAAAGTAAAATTTTTTGTTTTAAATTCTATAGGATTATTATGGTATTGTGCATGGGTAGGTAAAAGTTTAGAAATCGACATATTGATGTTGATATTCAAAGATGTAACCTATCGCTTCGCTGTATCTAAATTTATACGCGATATTATTTATGCATAGTAATCTAAACATGCATAAATTGTGTAACTGTTAACGATTTAATAAAATTGGATCTTATTTTATAAAAAAATAATATTGTTATATTAATGATTTAAAGGAATTAGAATGGTGTTTTTGTGTAAGAATATTTGCTGATTCTTTTTCTCCTTCTGCTCCAAGTTTATTTTGACCGAGAGTCAAATCTTTTAGCGTGATATTTTAGCAAAATGCATCTGCTGATACTTTTCTTTTTTCTAACCCGAGCATGTTGTATCCAATTTAAATATTTCAAAGCATTGTCTTTGCAAAATGCATTCGCTAATACTTTATTAGTTTTGAAAATTCTAAGTCCATGTAATGTTCTTGCAAAGCGCATTTACTGATACTTTTCCTTCTTCTAATTCAAGATTATTATGAAAAAGACTCAAAAAAGTCAGAGTATCTTGAAAAAAGTATCCGCTAGTGCACTTCCTGATCCAAAATTATTGTAGTTTCTTTAAAAATATATTAGCAATAAGTTAATATTTTGAGAATTGACCTTGTTTCTGGACAATTACTGTACAAGCACAAAATAATACCTACCTGTGCAATATTTCAGATACATTTATATGCGATATTTCAAAATAAAGGATGAGCCTGGATGATTGATGAATGTATCTATATAAAATAGAATAATAAATGTTCATTCATATAGCTTATTTTAAATACTTAGATTGATAACGCCAAGAAATAGTAAGCATTCATGAACTTGAATAACTTACTTTAAATATTTAGACCAATAAACGCATAGACTCCCTGATATACCTATCCGGCTAGCTGCTATCGCAAGCCAGGTACAATCACTAGTTATACTGGGATACGCATTAATTAAGGTTGTGTATGCTATTTCTGAAGAATATGATTTTATTTCGTATAGCAGATAGTTTCTTATTCCGTATTGCTTGTATATTAAAGTATTGGCTTTTTCTATTTTTCCAGATTATGTAACATACTTATATTTGGGATTAATAAAGCACTTAGATTTATATGTGCCGGTATTCTTTAAGCAACTGAAT